GTGTGGGAGGTCTTTAAAAAAAATTATAGAAATATGTTGCCACACGTGAACTGCTCATCAATCTCCAGGAGGTATTTTCTAAGATTTTATAAAGAGTAGCATGAAAAGTAGCAGTTGATAGTCCTAGCAGGAAAAAATTGAAAATATCCTAAGCTAATCAAGTGGAAAAACTGATGATGTATATCCATGGTTGAACTAGTTTTTATATAGTTCAACCATGATGTATATCCGCCTGCCGATAATTTACTTTTTTCAAATTAATGAAACTATAGAACCACAACCATGTTCCATTTCAGCGGAATCCGATTTACGGCCGTTCTCTGTTACGATCAGCTGAGAATCAAATGGGGTAGTGGTACTGGTACCCACTACCCGGTAGTGGTAGTTTTGTGTCAGAAATAAATCTACTTCGAAACTTGTATTTTCTTCAACATATCAGAGTTTATCGGTCATTTATGCATGCTATGGAGGATATTTATTTTCTTATTTACCATAAAGACTAAGAGTGGGTGGAAAAACGTCGAATGCACAATCCAGATTAATGGAGAGAGTCAGTTACGTTCGCGGTTCGCCGCGAAAGCACGTGTGCGATTAATGCTCCCTAAGAATAGAAGTACTTTTTCAACAGTATTTGCGACTTGAGCTTCTTAATAAAACATATTGATGATTAAAATTCATTTAAGACACATCTGGCCTGGCTCCAAACCCCTCTGTCAGTCCGTGGTTTGCTGGTTCTGGAACTTCTGGTTGTTTGTTAATCGTTATTTTGTCAACTAGGTAGTTGAAATTGAAGTCTAATCATCTAAAATCTATTTGTTTATATTTTGGCGCTTTTAAGCACTAATCAGTTAGGATAAGTTGTCATTGCTACCTGGTGTTTTTGAACTTCCGACTTAGGAATGGATCATTATGGATGACTGACATGACATCAGTGACATGACTCTGGTTGCCTTACTGTTGCTGTCTCAGGCTGTGGCTGACCAGGCTGACTGGCCGAGTTGTGGCCCACCTGCAACATCTTAAACTATAGAAGATGGTGAAGAAGACATGATGAGTAATGATTACAAATTACAATCTTACTCATGCCCCTTGGTACTGATTCTCCCATGTTTGGTGATTAAAATTCTGATTACATTGAGCTTGAGCCTTGAGGCAACTCCTGCAGGTGGCACTGTGGCAGGCTGGCAGCCACTGTGGAGGCTCTGGCTGCTTGTGTTTGCTGGAAATGTAGACCTTGTCTTGTGAGAAAACTGGATCAAGCATCAAGTGAAAGCCTTGGTCATGGACTCATGGTCACTCACTCTCACAGTCACAGGCTTGGTGGACTTGAGTCAGACTGTCAGAGCCAAGCACCCAGCTAAGCAGAAGCCTAGCAATGGGATACAATTAAAAAGTGCTTCTATTTTTGCTAATAACAATATGACAAGTGATGAGCTTTAAACTAATGCCACTCTATGTGGTTCAGGATGTGGCCACTGGCCAGAGCCAGACCATAGTGATGATTGATGAAAGCACACTATCACCGGGACTTAATGCCCTTTCCTTTCTGTTCTAAAGGATCCAATTAGACCAAATGGTGGTATCAAAAATTCACTTTTTGTAACGATAAAAGATCTAATTATGCATCCAAATCTATGTTGTCAGTTGATTGCTCTAAAGTTTCATTCCTTCAGTTCAGTGGACATTGCATAGACTGTATAGACAATTTTCTATCTTTGTCTCAGTCTGTGATCAGAAAATGGGCTGTCTGCTCCAACCAGCTGGGATCTGATGTGCATATTTTTGAGGCACTTGATCCTAAATTGATCCAATTTCCATGACAAATTGATCCCAATTTCCATGTTCAGGCATGAGATAACTTGCCAATGCTGGAAATACAAATATATCTGAAATTTTACAACTGACTAGGCTCCACAATGAAAAGCAATTAAAGCATGAGCCATCAGCTACACTTGAAAGTCACTTTTGGTTGAAAAAACTTGCCCAGCAGATTATCAATTGGCTATTGCCAGGTGGTGTGTCATACCTCACCACCTATACCTTCAGACTTCAGTACCATCACACTTGTCACCTTCAGACTACATCATTGTAGTAAGTCTATTAATGTCTATATAAGCTCCTCAAGCATTCCATGACTTGGCCATGAGGCAGTTGCAGACCAAACTATTTGCTGCAATTGCAGCCCAGCTGCTATGATCTGATGGCTCCAACAGTTCCTTATCCATTTTTACTCCAGATCTATTCACTAGAGCTTTTCTGACTCAGAGACCAGATCTGGACAGTGACAATTTCTCCATTTGTTGCAAAATTGGAACTAGACTTGTAAGTTGTAAGATTTTCTGAGGATGTTGAAGTTTTGTGAATATTCTATCAGGCCAATTGGACCCTTTATCAGCAGGCACTTTATGATGTGCTGATCTCTGCTGGGTGTGGTCCATAGTCTGGCAATGGTTGTGCCTACATATCCAATGCCATTGGATATCTACAAAGCTGCCTCTTCAGCAGTTACTCAAATTTCAGGAAAGAGACATTGCTGTTTTGCAACACCAGGGTAGGGTGGTGAATGTTCAAAAGCAGTAACTTTGAGGGGCCAAGCTCAAGGAAGACTGTGGTGCTCTCCAACATGGCTAACCTTACAGAATACAAGCATAGTGAGGGTGTGGCCCAGGCTCCCAGCACCTCAAATTCAAGAAGCCGTGCTGAAATGTAAAGCTGCTTACTGCATAAATAACCTGACTACTTGTTTTATATCCCAGCTTTATCACTTGGTAATTTAACTACAACTTCAGAACCATTGACTGGATTCTTAAGGTCAAAAACATTCATCATTCTAAAGTTGAATTTGAATATAGAAAACAATCCAGTTTTCAATATGTACTTATTTAATTCCATAGTTAATCTTGTAGAATAAACATGTTTACTTCTGGTTCTAATGTCCTCATGTAATGTGTATGTATAAATAGGTATAAACTACTTAACTTGGAGATAGTAAGCAACTGGAGCAGAAATTTAAACTATCAAATGACTAACAACTTATCTGCTACAGATTGTATTAAAGCATAATTTTAATATCCCTCAAGTTGATTAAGAGTTACAAGTTATACAAGATTTGCTTCTGGTATTGAGTTTACAGTGTTACTCCATCACTGCATCAGAAGCTTCTTGAAACACAGTTATGCTTCTGCATCTTCAGCACTGCAGGCTACAAGGCCAGGTACCTGCCAGATTCTTGATACTCTTATCAAAATGTTATTGTGTGTCGATCAAGCCAAACCAGCTTCAGATTCTTGATGGTCATCTTATTTAGATGTGAAATTGCATTAAAACACTCATGTACAACAAAGTTTTTCTCAACTTGTGATTTTATATATGGTATCAGTGTAGGTATTTTTTAATATTGCTGAACTTACATGCAGCAAACCAGTTAAGTCTATATTTAGATCTTGAATTTAGCAACATTCTGTTTTTCAAAAGAAAATATCTCAACTTTTATAGGAGTTTCTCTCTATAAAAACTTGTAAAATTGTTGACTAGACCATAGAGGTTGTTTTCAAGAGAGAATATACAAGGTGCATTTCTGTTTAAGGACTGACAGATATTTTTTTTGTTCTCCAAGCCAGTACTGCTGCGCCTGCTGCCAAGCTGCTGCCAGCACAACCTGCAGTGCAGCACTTCATCTGACCAGACAATCTCATTAGACCCTGAGTGGGCAAAACTGGCCAAAAAGCAACTGAAAGGAGCTGATCCTGCAGAGAAGTTGCTCTGGCACACACCTGAGGGCATTACTGTTAAGCCTCTCTACACAAACAAAGATGTCAAACAGTAAGTTGACTTCTTTGGCACTTTGCTTTGCTGAATTTAATTCATGCTTACTTGTTAGGACATATGAATGTTTATGTATATAATGTGCTGGTCATAAATTCTACTGCCATTAAAGTCAATTTATCACTAAATGAAAAAGGATGCATATAAAAGTTTATCATCAAATAATGCAATCTCAATCTTTCATGGCAAAAAATTTGTGACCAAATCACAGTTTGTGATTAATCTTGCCTGTATTTTCCAGGTTATTTTAACTGCTTGGTTGCTTTCTACAGAAGCGTGTATGAAGAGCTGCCCGGGAAGCACCCATACACAAGAGGGCCATACCCTACAATGTATGCAAATAGGCCCTGGACAATCAGGCAATATGCTGGCTTTAGCACAGTTGAAGACAGCAACAAGTTCTACAGAGAAAACATTAAGGCTGGCCAACAGGGCCTCTCTGTGGCCTTTGATCTTGCAACACATAGAGGGTCTGTAGTGAAAACATTTTGTGCCAAAAGATCCGTGTCTTTTTTCCAGTTCATTTGTTTTTCAATAATCGTATTTATGCATTGACAAATATTATTGATTCATTTTGATATGGCTCCTGGTGTTTTTCTTTTTCATCGATTATATTATCTCATATATAAATCATATTCATAACAAATTCAGTGGTTCATCGGGTATACCTGACTTGGATAGCCCACGTGTGCGTTGTGATGTTAAATGTTGTGCATAAATAATGATTTTATTATTTTATGACCCCCCCTGGTGATTGTTATCACTTAAATAACAATGTATTTATTTATTGGAATTTTTTGTTATATCAGGTATGACTCAGATTACTACCCATCATAACCCATGCGTGTATAGTGATTTTTACAATTATATTATAAAATTATAATAGTAATAATTATACATATTTTTTTTCAGGTATGACTCAGACAACCCACGCGTGCATGGTGACGTAGGCATGGCAGGCGTGGCCATAGACTCGGTGGAGGACATGAAGGCGCTGTTTGAAGGCATCCCCTTGGGGCGCATGAGCGTCTCTATGACCATGAATGGAGCAGTCCTTCCAATCCTAGCCATGTTTGTAGTGGCTGGTCAGGAACAGGTCTGTTAAAATGGACAAACTTGAAGAACTTTAGCTCTATTATCAATTATTTGTCACTTTCTTAATGCTTATAGATATATATGTATGGAAGCAATAACAACAATCTGTAGTGAATAAGCTCCTTTTCTATTATATTTCTTAATTTTTGTGTCAAATTTTAAAGTGTTTAAGACTGTGACTTTAACTTCTCTTACTAAGTTAATTAGTTTATTTTTTGAGTTTTTATGAACCCTATTAGCAAAAGGTGCATGAATTACCATTTGTTCTTTAAATTATGGCCTCACATTGCCATGGTTTGAACCTGCAACTGAATTTCAAATTTCAAGTCTACTACTGTATGACGTATTGCATGACATCTTAGCTGATGATTTATTATCACTTTGAACTAGGTAAGTACTTACCCCTTACCCTGGTGCCATGTAATCACTATGAACTGATGTGTAAAGAATTCAAACTCTCTCTGAATCGTTCATTGTAAATAATGGATAATTAATTTGCTTATTAATATCATATGTACAGGGCGTGAAGACAGAGGAGCTCTCAGGCACCATCCAGAATGACATCTTGAAGGAATTCATGGTGCGCAACACGTACATATTTCCTCCCGAGCCTTCCATGCGCATCATTGGTGACATCTTTAAGTACACTGCTCAGGTACGAAGTGCGGCTTCTTTCGATGCCTAAATAAATCTTGAATAAAAATGGTTTGCATAATTCAGGCAATTTATGTTGATTCACAGTATTTAATGATTCTTAACTATACCGATTTAACGTCTGTACAGTGAAGGCAACGTACTTCTACTGCTCACAATGCTCTTTAATTTCTCAAGTATACTATGTACTGACCATTCCGGCTTTCTTCACTTTTTGCAAACTAAAATAGCTTAGGCCGTGCCGTCCGTGATAAATAATTTTTTTGAAAAATCTCTTTTTTTTAGAGATTTATTTACAACCTGAGTTTTTGGCTCCCGTTGTTAATAAAGCTGTAATAACCAGCCAGTAATCTGGCCTTGTAAATAAATGTTTTGAACGAGTACATGGCAACGGATCAAATATTCCCGGTTTCTCGGTACCGTAATTGATACCCCATTAACACTATTTTTCTATTTACAGAACATGCCGAAGTACAACAGCATCAGCATCAGCGGCTACCACATGCAGGAGGCGGGTGCCAACGCTGTGCTTGAAATGGCCTTCACACTCGCGGATGGCTTGCAGTATTGCCAGACGGGCCTCGAGGCGGGCCTCAACATCGATCAGTTCGCCCCTCGTCTCTCATTCTTCTGGGGCGTCGGCATGAACTTTTATATGGCGCGTGCTGAGATTTGTAACAATGCTTCTCATTTTTATGATGGTTTTACAATAATTATTTACTTGGATATCTTCCAGCTTACCACTCGCTTCTCATTCTGTGCATAAATATTTTGTCACTAAAATTAGCATATTCCTCTAGGTGTTATCACAATAGTTTTTTACGTGGCTTTTTTTAGTTTATTGGAAGGTGATACTTTTACATTTTTTTGAACGTGTAATTATTTTTTAGGTAATTTCTGTTTAAGGGGCTGTAAATTTTTGTGAGATTTTGCATGGATGTGCAGTTAGCAAGTTTCTTGTTGACCTAGTAAATTTTCTAACCAAGATTTTTCTCTGTACAGGAAATAGCGAAAATGCGAGCAGCGCGACGGCTGTGGGCTGAACTCATCCAAGAGCAATTCTCCCCTAAGGACGCACGCAGCTGCTTGCTCAGAACTCACAGCCAGACCTCAGGCTGGTCACTCACTGAGCAGGTGAGTGATCTCTTCCTTACTTATTCCTAACCTTTCGCAGCCGGACCTCAGGCTGGTCACTCACTGAACAGGTGTGGGACCTATTCTTAAGTCATTCTTATTATGGTAATGTATGCAAATGAAGTAATGGACAACTTATTTTATTGCGAGTGCACTACGCCGCATTACATACATACCACATTGCTGAAACGTGGCCATTTAAAATAATTTGACAGGCAGCATTAAACATGGCTACCTGGTCAATGCGCAGAATGAAACAAATAATGAGTAATTCATGTAATAGTCGAATGAGCTGCATACATTACCAAAGAACACCATTTTGAAAGGTGTCAAATGTATATATACAGCTCGACGCTATAGGGTTAACTCATTTATTAAATAACCTGCTTTTTCTGAACGTCATTTGCTAAATATTTGAATGCATCTATTTAATAAAAATCGGTATCTCACTGCTCCACCTAACTTTAGAAATAAATGTCTATTTCTGATAAACGTCTGTTTATTAGTTTAGATGATTTTAAGGTTCATTTAGAAATATACAAGGCTGCTGGCTTTTCCAATGGATTGCATTGTTTCTTTCTGTTGGAAAGATTCTTGATTGGAATATTAATTCCTGTCCATCTTGTAAAATATTCATTTTCAACCAGGGTTCCATTCAACAACCTGATCCGGACTACGGTAGAGGCGATTGCCGTTTTTTTATGTTGGAAAGATTCTTGACATAAATCTTCATTCTTGCCCTTCTTGTCAGATATTTATTTTTGACCAGTATCCTTACGAAAATTCATACCTGCCCATTTTTTTATAATATTTCTGTTTGACCAGGACCCGTACAACAACCTGATCCAGACGACGGTAGAGGCGATGGTCGCGGTGTTTATTTTTTTATTTTTTGGAGAGATTCTTGATTTAAATCTTCAATCTTGTCCTTGTTGTCAAATATTAATATTTGTTCAATATCCGTAGATAAATTTATTCATGGCCATATTTTATAATATTTCTGTTTGACCAGGACCCATACAACAACCTGATCCGGACGACGGTGGAGGCGATGGCCGCGGTGTTCGGAGGCACTCAGTCCCTGCACACGAACAGCTTCGACGAGGCCCTGGCGCTGCCCACGCCCTTCAGTGCAAGACTTGCCCGCAACACGCAGCTTATCCTGCAGGAGGAGACTGGCATATCCAAGGTTGGGGGAAGGATTATGAAGTATATATATTCGAATACTTATTTTAATAGATATATTCAGAATGATAAATATACAGTAAATATTCTCTTTTCCTATGGGAAGAGAATGGCACATCTAAGGTGGGGGAAAGCCTACGAAGCATATATATTCGAATACTTATTTTTATCTATATATTCAGAATGATAAATATACAATAAATATTCTCTTTTCCTATGGAAAGAGCCTGGCATATCGAAGGCAAGGGAAGATCTAGAGAAGGAAATATATTCAGAAAGATAGATGTTCATGCTTATCCAAACTGAGAGGAGATTTTCTATATCATTTTCGACATAACAGTTTTGATGGGATTACAGTGCGTTGCGCTTGTTCTGTATGAGGAGACTGGCATGTCCAAGGTTTATGCAAAACCAGTTATGGGAGCTTAGCCATGAAATTCTCTTGGGTCATAACCCTGTTTAGATTTAGAAATAATTTTTGGGAGCTAGACCATAGCCCTGTCTTGTGCTCATCATTAGACGCTCTCCCGCAGATCATAGACCCGTGGGCGGGCTCGTACGCGATCGAGGCGCTCACGGACCAGCTTTGCGAGGCCGGCATGAAAGTCATCCGCCAGGTGCAGGAGATGGGCGGCATGGCTAAGGCTGTGGCCTCAGGTAAGTCTTCGCCTCCACAAATACATTTCAAGCTTACAACCTCAAAAACTTTTTTACCATGAGCATTGAGGTGCGGTGGAGGCTACGTACACTTGCACTTTTTAAGAAATTCTCAGAAGTTTTTCAGTTTTTACAACGAACTAACTCGTATCGCATTTTATATTAACAAAGAAAGGAATTTTTGTAGGAAAATATGTAATATTAATATCACTGCTGTATTGCAGGCTGGGCTAAACTGCAGATAGAAGAGTGTGCTGCTAAGAGACAGGCGATGATCGACAGCGGCAAAGGTGAGAACTGCATCGGCCTTTCTATTCTTTGGTGCCTGCATGTTATTTATCTTTATCTGCATGTCCGTATTCTCTGCCTTCTTATACTTCATCTCTACCATCTGGTACCTCATTTATGTCTTCTGGTACTTCATTTCTGCCTTCTTGTTCTTCGCCCGTTCCTTCTTACACTTCATCCTGCCTTCTTGTTCTTCGTCCGTTCCTTCTTACACTTCATCACTGCCTACTTGTTCTTCATCTCTGCCTTCTTGGTCTTCATCTGTTTCTTCTTGCACCACGTCTCTGCCTTCTTGTACTTCATCTCTGCCTCCTTATAGTGAAACCTCCTCTTCATGTCGCACTGTCCTTGCTATGAGGATGGCTCGACAAATACTAAGACGCTTGAAGCTGCCATGTCGGGTACGGTATTTCTGGTAGATTCAACCATGGCAAACTAGCCCAACACAAACTATCAACACAAACTATGAACACAAATTTTGATCACAAACTAGCCCAACACAAACTCTCCACACAAACTAGCCCAACACAAACTATGAACACAAACTAGCCCAACAAAACTATCAACACAAACTAGCCCAACACAAACTATCAACACAAACTAGCCCAACACTAACTATCAACACAAACTAGCCCAACACAAACTATCCACACACAAACTAGCCCAACATAAACTAGCCACCCAAACTAGCCCAACACAAATTATCTACACATAAACTAGCCCAACTCAAACAAGCCATACACAAACTAGTCCAACCCAATAAAACTACACACAAATAGAGCATCCAAATATCTTGATTGACGCCTGTAAGCTTCATCCCTTCATTAAATTACGATCAACATAAATGAATGGTCACAATTGTTTGATATACCATTTTATTCAACTGGTTGTTCGCTCTCCATGCTAACGTGAAGTTAGGTTCGTGTCTGCTTGATTTGAATTAGTTAATTTTTGTCTCATAACTAACGTAATTTATGGAAAATAAGGTTAAGTGTGTACGTAGAATACGACTGAAATATTAACGGTGATACTGAACTGCATGTCTGTTGCGCAGAGGTCATCGTGGGTGTAAACAAGTACAGGCTGGAGAAGGAGGACGACATCGATGTGCTGGTCGTTAATAACGAGAGCGTCCGCAGCCAACAGATCAACAAACTCAAGCAGGTTAGTTGAAGTCAATTCAGAACAGTTTGAGTCACTTTATGCATTATCAGGATAGTTGAAGTTAGCTCTGGTCATCTGAAATTGTGTCAGTTCCGATCAAGTCTGTTCAAGCTCGGTCAAATCGAATAATTTCTGGTCACTTTAAACCTGCTCATGATAATTCCAGTCTTGTCTGGTTGGTTAAAACTTCCAGGCTGCTACTGCATCCTAGTCTCAGATTCTAGGTACATGTAAGCCTTTAGTTCCATGCCCTTGCCTAGTTATTTTATTTTTTCATTCCAATCTTTAGTTAGACCTTAGACCACCGTAGCCTCTTGGTCTTCACGCTTCTTCTTAATTATCATGAAGAAGTAACAACAAAAGAAATTGTGTGTAACAATCATGAAGAAGTAAGAATAAAAGAAATTGTGTGTAACAATCATGAAGAAGTAACAACAAAAGAAATTGTGTGCAACAATCCTGAAGAAGTAAGAACAAGTTCATGCCTACAGTTACGTGAGTCACGTGACACCGAAGCTGTGACGGCAGCTCTAGCGGCGGTCACGTCAGCTGCACGTAACAGCGACAACAACCTGATGGCGGCCGCCGTGGAGGCGGCGCGCTGTCGGGCCACCGTTGGGGAGATCACCGAGGCCATGGCGGAGGTAGGACTCCATAATGCCGTCGTCAATAAAGGCATGTCGGGACTGATTGAGCCCATTTGAAACCGAAGTTTATAGCTCGTGCCTTGTTGATTTAAGGTTCTCCATGAACCGCTCAGCGCTGAAAACATGTGAGATTTTCTCATATATGTACGATATCCTCAGCCTTAGCATGCCGATGCCCAGCGTGAAATTCGGCGCGTGATAGCTCGATCTGAAGCTTTTTGTGATCACTGACTTAAAATAACCTAATGTTCGTATTATTGCACTTCGGCAATCCCTCAAGTATATATTATGCTATCTCCATGCTCGCTTAAAGCTGAGTTTCTAAGTGGTTCTAATGGACTAGTTCATGAAATCAGTTTTGGATGGGAATAAGGTATAAATTTCCGGTCTATCTTTTATGCATTGCAAAGTAAGTGAAACGATGTCCTTCAGTTAACTAAATTGGTGCGGCTGTGTAGTTTTTATATTTCAGTGCATACATTCATACTACTTTTTGTCATATTCAAGATACTTGTGAGATTGAGCTGGAGTTATGCACGCATTAAGACCAACAGGCAGGCTAAAGAAGGAAGTTGTATTCAATTTTTTATAATTCATATTATATTATCATCATTTTTAAAACTATTATTAACACTATTCGCTGCTACAACTAGTGACAAGGTGGGCTGGTGCTGTTATCCATGGTACTCAATAGGTCTACTTATAGGACTAAAAAATTAGATCAGTACTCACTGCAGTGAGTGACAGAGAGCATATTTTCTCGTCCGTCCGTGATGTCACAGACAGACGGACGGACAGACATGACGAGCACAATAGCGCCTTTTTTCATAAATGAGAAAATTCGCTAAAAAGAGCAATTTGGAAAAAAGTTTCTGCTATGCCTGCAGGTGTGGGGACGTCACGTGGCCAGCGACAGGCTGGTGTCTGGGGCGTACAGCTCCCAGTACGGCGACAACGACGATATCGCCCGCGTTATGCGACAGGTCAGTTCCTATCAATGATATATATTCCATATTATTATAATATAATACGTATAACACTTTGTTATATTATATTTTATTCTACTATTATTGTGGTATTATAGTATGATATTCAATCCATGTGTTTTCCTGGCCCATATTTTCTTATTCCGCAAATCTTATTCATATTCGTATACAATTTAATTATGACATAATACAGCCCATTACACCATACTATTTCATCGCTATGGAAGTATAAAATTAATATAAAAATAGTAAGGTTGAAGTGAACTTTTACAGTGAACCCCTTCCCTTATTGTCACCTTGTGCCCCACAGGTTGATGAGTTCGTGGCCGCGGAGGGCCGCAGGCCCCGCATCCTCGTGGCAAAAATGGGCCAAGATGGCCACGATCGCGGGGCCAAAGTCATCGCTACGGGCTTTGCTGATATGGGCTTTGATGTGGATGTAGGACCACTCTTTCAGGTGAGTGGGGCCACTCTTTTGGGTGAGTGGGGTATCTATTTCAGGTGAGTGGGGCCTCTATTTCAGGTGAGTGGGGCCACTCTTTCAGGTGAGAGGGACCACTCTTTTGGGTCAGTGGGGCCACTCTTTCAGGTGAGTGGGGCCACTCTTTTGGGTGAGTGGGATCACTATTCCAGACGAGTGGGGCCACTCGTCCAGGTGAGTGATGCCACCCTTCGTGACGAGTGTCGTCTCTTGAAGAAGTGAGAGGAAGACTAATTAAATGTTTAACACGTTAAGTGTGACTATGTATTCAGAGCGTATTTCATACCGGTGGCACGACCCATTGGTGGGTCGTACAGCACATGACGTGTTAACAGTAATTCCAGGAAAATTTTTATTTACAAAATTTTTTATATAGAAAAGCAATGATAAGAAAAGCCAGACGATTTTGTTTTAAATCAAATTTATTTTTTAATTTATTTTCATCACTTTTCATTAACAACAAACAAGGCACTTAATTTGTTGTACTGACGACATTATTAATATATTCATTAAAGTGCTATCATCGTCCTGCCTGCCTAATTGTATAATTTTTATTTTCATCGTATGAGATTATAAGATCTCATACATATCTAGTTTTTGGATGATAAACTAGTAACTATTCTTTTTTACACGTTATGTGTAACTGCGAGAATAACCTCATATTGCTTAATATTAAGTAAACATGGCGTCAAACAAATTGACTCTAATAGGAAATGAACCACAGCCAAAAGTTTGTTGGTTTGTCACTATCATCAAGTCAAGTTCGAACAGACTTAGCTACTCCGACGGCACACTTGCTGTGCTCTGGCAACATGTCTGTTGCTCTGGCAACGAGCTCTGTTGCTCTGTGTTCATGGTCTGCCTCTCTGGCACCATGCTCTGCTGCTCTGGCAACCAGCTCTGTTGCTCTGGCACCATACTCTGCTGCTCTGGCACTATACTCTGCTGCTCTGGCACCATGCTCTGCTGCTCTGGCAACCAGCTCTGCTGCTCTGGCAACACACTCTGCTGCTCTGGCAACATACTCTGCTGCTCTGGCAACACACTCTGCTTAGATTTAGCTCTGCGGGTTTGAGGAGAGCACATCCCACATTCTTCAGCAATATATTTGCCTACGTCGCTGCTCATCCCTTTCCAGAAAAATCTTTTTGTCAAGATCTCTCGCCTGTTGATGAATAGAATTTAAAATTATGCATTACAAATAAATTAGCTTCTTGCCTGTTAACAATTTCCCATCCTGTGTATTAGAAAAATGTTCTTTTATTTTCAATCAGAACATTAAATTTAATTTTATTATTTAAAGTTCTTGGTATTATAATTATTCTTAATGGCTTAACCATCTGTACCCTCAAGTGGGGTGATTTTGGCCACTGGGGGTGACTTCGGCCACCACTAAAACAGAAACAAATGGCAGCAAAACAAAATAATAAAAATTGGCCAAAGTGACTGGGGTGACTTTGGCCAATGTTTACTATTTTGTTTTGCTGCCATTTGTTTCTGTTGTAGTGGTGGTCAAAGTCACCCCCGGTGGCCGAAATCACCCCACTTGACGGTACAGAGAATTGATCATCTGAAATGTTTATATATCCCATAAATAATAATTAATTCAACTAAAGGTAGTCTATTGGCTCTCCTGGTGTTTTTAAAAGAACCAAATCATAATTTGGAGGGTAAAATATTGAATGAATATTTTTTGAACTGATGAGTGTGTTCAAAAAATTCTTTCATAGATTTGACAAAAATTGGTAATAACTTTCTTATGCAATTAATAGCATCTGCATACAGATACTCACGTCCTGTTGATGCCTTTGCAGCAGCCTGGTTTCTGATGTTCATTGTGAATATGAGCTATTATTTTGTTAGCTGCTGCAGCCCCACACACAACCTGCAGCTCAGTGCTGCCTTGTCGATGCCACAGCTTACCATCCTAAGGGCACACTAATTGTTAAAATATAATAAATTCATTATCTAATGCTAATAGATTACAATCCCCCCATAAGCAAAGGGCAGGCTGATACTTAAAAAAGATATATATAATAGATTGATGAGCCTAATGCCGATAAGATTATCAATTTAACAGAAATGTCTTCACAAGTATTACCAATTACAGAAGTGCAACACAAATTTATGATTGAATTTTTGAGCATCCAGCTTCTGCATGCAGGTTGAGAATTTTGATTAAATTTTCTCATCATTATAAATCAGAAATAATAAATCGGACTTTATTTTTATATAGAGTTTCAACAGTTTTTCAAGTTTTCTAAAAACTTCCTCATTATAAATCGATAACATGTATTAATTTAAAGCCATTTCAACCCATTGCTAATGCATGCTAATTATTTGTGGGTGGTGTAGATATTTTTTGCTGCTTGCAGAATTCTATTCTAAAATTAATTATCCATGCACAAATTGAAAAAAAAAAACAATTGATATGTTGAACTGTTTTTGTTGAAGATTTTTCTCAAAATGAACAAATTTCTGAGATGAAGTTTATATTGCTCATTTAGTTTTGGTACAATAATTACATCATCCAATGAAATTCAATAAAATCTTGAAGCAAATCCTAAAAATAATAAATGCTAAATTTTTGCAACTGAGTTGAATAGCTTGAAATCATTTCAATCACGGTCAAAATTCATAATCGGATTTGAACATATACAATGTTTAAATTGGAAAAGTTTCAGCAAATATGCTTTCCATTTTTTATTAAACACTCATTTAAAATATCAATCTACAGCCTTCTGCTCTAGTCTACATATCAGGCTACATTCTTACTCTAAGGAAATATTTGTTACACTTGAGTCGCCAATTGCGTCGATTCATTTTCTCAGTTGCTTTCAAATAGTACTTGGTGTGGGCTGGATACTGCTCATTTTGTAAGTATTCCATGAATGAATTGTACGTTTCTTCATCCATTTTGTTGGACAATCATAATTGTTGAATCAGGAATGACTGCATTCTAATAATTTTATGAGGTTTTGTACAGAGCTTAAGTGAATGCCTAAAGATTCACTTCAAATAATTAGAAATTTTTTAACATTCTCTTGTGTCATAAGCATGATTAAATATCAAGCTCTATCAGCTTTTTTCTAGCTGTAGCTGGAATAAGTAAACAAAATTAAAATCACAAAATAATTGTAATTAAAGAAATGTCATAATGAACCTTGGCCTAAATTCAAAATAAATTGCTCAATATTTGAGAAATAGTAAATTAAGATTTATGTTTATTCATAATATTAAATACCGGTATACTATTACTATAATACTATTAGCATAATTTAATACATATAAAAAACTCAACATTTTATTGATTATTGAATTCAATCTAATAAAGACAGTGCCTAAAGATGATACAATGATAAAAATCAATTTTCAAACAAATATCTAATTTCCAGTTTCGCTTGTAGCTAGGTAGTCCTATACCAATTTCCACCATTAATTAAACTAAAAGACTAAAATATTTTACTGAGGCTATGAAGTAGAAGTACAGAAGTAGACATTTCTATGTATAGGATATAAATATATGACTACTAAATATATGATCTAAATTAAAATTAACTACTAATTTCATAAGCAGAATAGCTCTGAATAATTTTATTCCTGAAAATTTTATGACTGGCAAATTTTCATCCACAATATCTGTACCGGTATATCATTGACATAGTTTAGAAATCCCAAAATGATTGCATTCTCCAACTTTTGACAAAAAAAAAGGTATTATTGCAGATTAACTACATCCAAAAAAAAGGGTGTTTTTTTTTTAATTATATGTTTTTTGGGGTGTAGATTACGAATCTGAAATCCATTTTTGGCGGTCGGCATCGGAAAACCGATTTTTTGCAATAATACCGATCACACGTAGTGACGTAGCGCACGACATCTTGAATGAAACTTACCCGTTGCACTGCAACGGGTAAAGAAGACGAAAATGTTACCCGTTGCACTGCAACGGGTAACATTTTCGTCTTCTTTGTCCATAAATCTGGAGATGCATTGCCACATCGAGAGATCACAACGTAATGCCAACTCGCAGGTTGGGTTGGTTCGCCCAGGTTCCTTTTAGATCAAAATGCTATCCAAAAAAAGGAACTTGGCTGACTTAACCCAACCTAAGAGCTTTTTGTAAAATTTCGATGAACAATCCGACCCTTTATATAAAGGTGAGTGGGTAACGTAAGTTACGTAACCCCCATGTTAGTAAATAAAGGTGAGTGGGTAACGTAAGTTACGTAACCCCCATGTTAGTAAGTCGCGAAAAAAATCGGTTTTCCGATGCCGACCGCCAAAAATGGATTTCAGATTCGTAATCTACACCCCAAAAAACATATAATTAAAAAAAAAACACCCTTTTTTTTGGATGTAGTTAATCTGCAATAATACAAAAAAAAATAAGCTAACTTCCTTGCATACTTTCTAAGACAATCTAAGGAAATTTTTTGCATGCCATAAATATAATTAAAAGTAACATATTTTACTTGAAAATAAGCATGAAGCAGCTAACAAAATGTATGGAGTCTCCTACTCACTGTCACATCATGACATTTCATATGCCATGGATTCTAAGATTCTAACCAGGGCAGAACTGTTGCACAGGGCTGGGAATGGGATCAACCTTAAGCCTCTCTGTTAGACTGCTCCAATAATGGCACTGAGAATTGTAACCACTGGGCCACCCTGCTAATATAATTATGAAATGTAAATCGTGTCTTATATTACTCATTCAGGAGAATTTCTGCTTCATATTCAAAATGCTCAAGCATTTTCTGCTTCATACCGGAGCCCTGGGCCCCTGAGGATGAGGTGAATCCTTACATTTTACAATATTTTTAAAGCAAATAATACGCAAATTTTTTGTAAAAACATTACTATTGTTACATTAAGTAAAAGAAAATTGATATCTATTTGTGCCTTGAAGTCAAGACTCAAGAGCGTATTTGCAAAATTGGTTGTTGCGGTTTTAAGTTTCAACGCATGCGTTGATTTGTTGAAAAGTTCTGAAGTGGTTTTTTTTTTTTTTTTAATTGATTTTAAGACTTCGGGTATGATAAAAAAAAAAAAAAATTCAGCAAAGCAGACTGGCAAACCCCTGAGGGAGAAAGCCAGTTGTGTTTATAAGGTATCAAACTTTAAATTAATATTATTTTAAGTAAATGCAAATGCTTATCCTTCGACAATAAATTCACCGGTACTTTGGAGAGCTCAAATAACACACGTGCTTTCGCCGTGAACGCAACTGACTTTCTCCTCTGAAGTGGTGCAACATTTCCATTTTTTTACCGCGCTTGCGTCTCTTATCCTAATTCTCGGAAAATTGTTTGATAAATCTTCGAATATTTATCATATTATTTAATTTCTTAAAATTCAAAATCTACCAATAGCTATTCATGATGTATCATGCACATTTTTAAATATATTTTTTTTGCAAATAGCAGTTCATAATTAATGTTTAGCACTTTTTAATTAAATATAACTGATTACTAAGACATTAGCTCTAAAAACTTGGCTTTAGAATTCGTACGACTATGTGGTCTTTAAAAACTTGTTAGCTAATAGTCTGCTCGGCGACTGTATTTTTTTTAGCCACACTAATTGATTAGTTTAAAAACTCTTGTATATTTTGTTGAGTATATAGGGATATAACTTTAATTCTCCATATAGATAAGAATAAAGCTTTTCATCTATTTCTGAAAATTTAAATACATCAGTCAGTAAGATCTGGATTCAAATTAATAAATTTAATTGCTTATTGCCAACTAGTGTTTCACAATTGAAATTCAATTCGCTGTGTTGTTCAAGTTTTCAGTTTCCTTTGAAGAATTTCAACAAAACAGAAAACGATTGTTTCGGATACTACTCTACTTTTTCAATTGAAAATTGTGCTACGTCCGCTCTCTGCTCGTACTATAGTGCGTCACATTTTGGGCAATATAATCCAAGAATTTCTAGTGCAAATTCCTTGCATCTTACTATGCACGTGACCGCGTGCAGACAAGAGTTGCCAGATAGGCGTTTTTTGGCCAAATTCGTCGCATTTTGCTTTATTAAGCCTGAAAAATTTTTGTCGCATGGATGTGTTATAACGCAGTTTTTCAGTTTATAGCCGTGGTCCTTGGTGTTGGTACTTGTTTCAAATTCTAGTAATCCTTCTGGGACCTTGTATAAGCCATGAGTATACTTGTATGCTTCAATGAGGTCCCCACGCAGACGTCGATAACTGAGGCTTGGAAGCTTCATAATCTTTAATTTTTCCTCTTAGGACTTCAGGACTTGACTTTCAAGCCCGGAATTATCCTTGTTGCACATCTTTGAACACTCTCTATTAAATTTTTGTCCTTTTCAAATTTCGGTGACCATACGACGTTTCCAAACTCTAAGTTCGGGCGCACGACAGCAACTGCTTCATCGCTTCTGCATTTAGAAACTCGAAAGAGCGTCTGATCAGTCCAAGTCGTTTATTGGCTTTATTAACTTGACCTTCAATATGCTTGGAAAATTTCAACTCATTGTCGATATTAACTCCTCAATCTTTTTCCATTGTTGACTTCGACATCATTACTCTGTCGTTGCCACAGTGTCTTCTCATACTGTAATCTTGCTGTTCATTATTTTTGCCAAGGTGGATAACTTTACATTTGTCAGCGTTAAAACGCAGGTGCCACTTATCAGCACAGTCTACCAGCCTGTCAAGATCACCTTGCAACTGTATTTTTTGCGACGTATTCTTCACTGAATTATAAACTTTTGTGTCGTCAGCATACATCGAGCACACGCCACATACAGCTTCTGGCAGATCGTTTATTTATAAACGCAACGAATAGAATAGGTCCGAGAACGCTTCATTGTGGCACGCCGCTACGCACTGAAGCCCAGTCTGATACGGACCCATTAATACTGACACGTTGTCGTCTCCCTACTAGAAAATCTCTCGTCCGTTGGAGTACATTACTCTCAATTCCCAAAGACTTCAATTCTTCTTGAGATAATCGGTTAAATTATACGATGCCTAGAAACCTAATTTTAGGTCTGAAAAAAATTTAAAATTTAATAATCACAAAATTACTGGTAATTAATTTAAGTATATTTATTAATTCATCATTATTCTGCTGTTGGCCTTTCAATAAACCGATTAAAGCACCTGGCAACCTTTGTGTTGCAGACAGCGGAGGAGGTTGCCCAGCAGGCGGTGGATGCTGACGTCCACGTGGTGGGCGCCTCGAGCCTAGCGGCGGGCCACCGCACGCTCGTGCCGCAGCTGGTGGCGGCGCTGCAGGCGGCGGGACGACCAGACATTAAGGTGGTGGCGGGCGGTGTTATACCGCCGCAAGACTATGAGTTCCTCAAGAATAGTGGCGTCGCCGCCATCTTTGGTCCTGGTGAGTCCCGCTGCTTCATGAATGCATAGAATTCGAGCCTTTAATTGACTTGTATATAAATTATATATTCTATTTTATATAGTTTAACATAGGTATTTGTATATATATAAATAATATAATTTATTTCCTAAATAATTACGGAAGAAAGATGTATAATGTCAATGCCACTTATGCAATGCCACGTCGCTGGGCTTCAATAGAAAAGATTTATTTTCTAAAAAAAATTAGTCACAACTTTCTAGCGGGATTGAAACCGCATCGTGACTATTAAATAGAAATTGGAACCTACAAATCGTAGTTCTTAAAAGTATTATAAGGTTTTTATTGACGAGCGACGCGTGGAGTGCAGTATTTGTGTCACAGGCGGTAGAAATTCATATTCAACATACATAAAAATTATCTTCATAAGTGTCGGATTTCACTTATTTTGATGCGCGTGACGTACAATTTTCACGTTTAAATTAATCTTTATTACAATGCTTTTAGAAAAACTGTGACGATGATAAGATAACGTTACACTGTTTTGCAATAACGCATGTATAATATGCAAGATAATTATGTCTGTATATATATAGTGTTGATACACGTGCATTAGAAATTCTAGGCAGACTCTCGAGCTCTTATTCACAATGAATGTTGTCACCCACGATGAATGTTGTCACCCCCGATGAATGTTGTCACCACGATGAATGTTGTCACCCACGATGAATGTTGTCACCCACGATGAATGTTGTCACCCACGATGAANGTCCAGAAGTGGTTAAATTGTTGAAAAAGGATTGCGTTAAAAGTTGCGCTGTGCTAAATTATATGGTTGGAAAGAAAATTGTTAAATTGGATTTCAAGAAGAAAATTGCATTTGTTCAAAGAACCTTAAATCTAGTCGTTGTGACGAGAGGAAAGCTAAATAGGTTATAAGATTGCGGCTGTGTTCAAACAGTGCCTAATCTAATTTTCTTTCAATTGATATGATCATTTATTTCAGTAATAAATCTTCAATCTAGTCTAGTCGTTGTGACGAGAGGAAAGCTAAATAGCTGTCTCTTATACACATCTAGATGTGTATAAGAGACAGTCCCGTGACAGCGCCCACCGTGGCGACGTCCCGTGACAGCGCCCACCGTGGCGACGCGCCCCGTGACAGCCCTCAACTTTCAACGCTCCCTGACAGGCTCCCTTGTTGTTTAATTCACATAATATTTCTAATTGATTTCCTATGAATCGGAAAATTGTACATAAATCAAAACGATAAAATATCTGGAAATTGGTTTCTACTTGAATAGCTTGTTATATTTGTTATATTGTGTAGCTAATTATTAAGCGAAAGTCGTCACATAATGCAGCTGAAAAACTATATTATTCTGTAATGTTATCTAGGTATAATAAATAGTCACATCGTAGCCAAAAATTATAACTATATTTTTTGTTTATGTTGGTTTCATAGAACTAGTATATTTGTAGATGATGAAAATGTAGCGTGTATAAAAATGCTTGGCAATACATCATCATACGGACGGTTTTCCTTCTCCTTCATTCTGACAACCTGCCGGGTTGCGAACCCACAACTCACTGCTCCAATCCTAGTACTCTGAACTGTATTCACTGGGTCATCCTGACCCAGTTTGGCCTGGCAGAAGGGCGTATCAGTGCTACGTCCGCTCTCTTGTGCCGCGTATAGGAACGTCACTATTTGGACAATGTGAACCATTTATTTCTTAGAGTGCAGCGAGTTCGATAGTTTGGCAAAAATTAGGATTTTTGTCTTCATCGGCCATTGCTTTAATTATCTCCTCTTATCCGTCCATTTCTTCATTCTCACATTCCCGTTTTTCATTTTCATTCTTGTATTCCTTCTTTTCTCAAAATTATTATTTCTCAAATTCCTCTTCTTCCCCTTCCATTTTTGCCTTCTGGCATTTCTCTATTCCCCAGTTAACCCCACCTCCCCAGCTCCCTCCTCCTCCCCTAACTCAATTCCCCCCTCCTCCACTTTTCCCCCACCCCGGGGCCCGCGTCGCATCTTTCGTCCCCAGAAGTTTTCTCCGTAAACTTTAGTTGGGGAAGTTGGGGACGAGACAAAGTTTGGCAGCGCCGGGCGCTCTGGAAAACAACTTCCTGGCTGGAAAAAGTTAAGCTGGAAAAACGACATGTTTTAGTCCGCACGAAATGACCGGCGATGATGGTGGGGTGATGATGGTGGGGTGACTAGCAGAATAGTGTAGTGATGATGGTGGGGTGATGATGGCGGGGTGACTAATGGAGTGATGATGGTGGTGAGGTGACTAGTGGGGTGATGATGGTGGGTGACTAGTGTGGTGATGATGGTGGGGTGACTAGTGTGGTGATGATGGTGGGATGACTGGTGGGGTGATGATGGTGGGGTGACTAGTATGGTGATGATGGTGGGGTGACTTGTGGGATGATGATGGTGGGGTGATGATGGTAGAGTGACTAGTGGGATGATGATGGTGGGGTGACTAGTGGGGTGATGATGGTAGAGTGACTAGTGGGATGATGATGGTGGGGTGACTAGTGGGATGATGATGGTGGGGTGACTGGTGGGATGATGATGGTAGAGTGACTAGTGGGATGATGATGGTGGGGTGACTAGTGGTATGATGATGGTGGGGTAACTAGTGTGGTGATGATGGAGGGGTGACTAGTGTGGTGATGGTGGTGGGCTGACTAGTGGGATGATGACCCTTCACTCCTCTTCCCCTTCACTACTCTTCCTCTTCACTCCTCTTCCCCTTCACTCCTCTTCCCCTTCACTCCTCTTCCTCTTTACTCTTCCCCTTCACTCCTCTTCCCCATCACTCTTTCCCTTCACTCCTCTTCCTCTTCCCCTTTACTCTTCCCCTTCACTACTCTTCCCCTTCACTCCTCTCCCCCTTCACTCCTCTTCCCCTTCACTCTTTCCCTTCACTCCTCTTCCTCTTCACTCCTCTTCCCCTTCACTCCTCTTTCCCTTCACTCCTCTTCCCCTTCACTCCTCTTCCCCTTCACTCCTCTTCCCCTACACTCCTCTTTCCCTTCACTCCTCTTCCCCTTCACTCCTCTTTCCCTTCACTCCTCTTCCCCTACACTCCCCTTTCTCAACTCATCCCTCTCCTCCCCTCCCAAACAAACGCCCCGCTTGATTGACAGCTCCAACCCAAACTCCAACTCGAGGAAAATAATTAAAACTTTTCATACAGGAACTTGGGTCATCGGGGAAACTGAGATGGCAAGGGAAGCATTTACCGCCCCACTCTTTCCCCCGGCTTCCCCCCATCTCTCATTCTTCCAATTCCCCTTTCTTCTTCCTCCCTCCTCAGCATTTCTTTTTCTTCCCTCCTCTCCTTTCCCCCCTTTTTCCTCTTTTTTAATTATATTTTTTATTCTCCTTTCTTTTCACATTTTCTTCCCTTCTCCTCTCCATTTCCTCTTTTCCTCCCCATTTTCCCTTCTCCTCCCCATGCCCCCTTTTCTTCCCCATTTCCCCTTCTCCTCCCCATTCCCTCTTCTCCTCCCCATTTTCCCTTCTCCCCATTTTCCCTTCTCCCCCATTTTCATCACCCCTCCCCATGCGTTGGGGAGGAGGAGGGGGTGAGGGTTCACTCGTTACATCGCCGAGAATTTCTGGCCAAACTTCGTCGACTGGCAAGAAGTTTGTGCTAAGAATGGAGCAAGTTGGGATGGAGCAACGCGCCGGATCACGGCCAACTGCTCCACTTATTTATGGAGTCATAGTCTCTGCGCCGTGTGCTCCACTGCACTCCGCGTGCTCCATTACGCGCCGTGATCTCCACTGCACTCCGCGTGCTCCATTACGCGCCGTGATCTCCACTGCACTCCGCGTGCTCCATTACGCGTCGTGATCTCCACTGCACGCCACGTGCTCCATTACGCGCCGTGTGCTCCACTGCACTCCGCGTGCTCCATTACGCGCCGTGATCTCCACTGCACGCCACGTGCTCCTCCATTACGCGCCGTGTGCTCCACTGCACTCCGTGTGCTCCATTACGCGCCGTGTGCTCCACTGCACTCCGTGTGCTCCATGCTCCACCCGTCATCAAGTTCGCAGGCCACNCACTGGTGCTACATCAATTCCTGCCACTGGCGCCACGTCAAGTCCTGGCACTGGTGCCACATCAAATCCTGGCACTGGTGCCACATCAAGTCCTCCTCCCGTTCACCCTCTCACCCCAAGTCCCCCACCCTCTCACCCCAGTCACCCACCCTCTCACCCCAAGTCACTCGTCCACCCTCTCACCCCAAGGCCCTCCGTCCACCCAAATCCCAAGTTTGCACATAAAGCGAAACACGGCGGTATTTGAACATTAAAACTTTGTTGGCTATCGTCTGAAGCGGGGCATGGAAGGTGGGTAGTGGGGAGGGGATGTGCCGGAGAAGTCGGGGGGGGGAACGTGATGAAAAGAGGGGTGTATTAAGGTAGGGAAGTGGGATGGATGTACAGTAAAAGGTGGGGAGCGCGATGGAAAGAAAGGTGTATCGAGGAGGGAAGGGGAGGGATGTGCCGGAAAAGGTGCAGGGAGCGTGATAAGAAGGGGGTAATTTGTAGGAAATGGGGGAGCGTGATGAAGAGGGGAGGAGGTGAGTAATAGAGTATGAGCGAGAACTTGGGGGTAGCAAAGTGTGAAGAATGAGCAAGAGCACTAAGATGGTGATATCGAGGGTCGGCTGTAATGGATGGTATCGTAAAGAATCAGTGACTCTTAATAATTTTTTTCTCATTCATCACCCTGCCGTCAAATACCTTCATCACTACCTCACCAGTTGTGATGAAATAGCAAGCAAAGAATATCTTGTTTAATAATTTTTGACTAAAAGACTTCGTCGTCGCACACTAAAACAATAGTGTAATAATAATAATCATGAAATTTTACATAACTTAACTTTTATACTTATATTATTTTTATTTCAGTTATTTGTATGGTTACCCAAATTCCTCTTTATTGTTAACGAAATGAACCGAACACACCATTTATATGGGAGTA